TCAAGGTTCTTATCGAGTAAAAATAAACTAGAAAACCGTGTTTTTGCTTCAAACTTAGACTTTGTAATCTTTAACCTTCTTATGGCGAGCATCACTTATTAATACATTTATAAAAACTCAAGATTTGAAAACTATCTTATTCCCAGTTTGACCAGCCTTACAGTATGGAATCTATAACGTTATACTTTTCGACTCTCATTTAGATCAAAATCTCTACAAACATTTCCAATAATACGTTCAATATTTGAAACTGGGATAAAAGGTTATCTCTACAGATAACTAAAAGCAAATGAATCGTCAAGTATTTTTTGCTATCTTTCTTAGCCGTTATTTTCCCTAGTAATCTACAGGGCTCTCTTTAACAGCTTGGGCAAGGACATAAAGCCGTCTCTTCTGGCCGGCCTTCTAAGTTTTTTTGACTTTTTTATTTCATTAATGCCATTTTTGCAAAAAAAGATTAATAAAAAAATTATGAATATAAAGTTCCTTATTTAGGGCACATGTTAAATGTAAAAGCCCTGATCTGATCTACGCAATGAGCTATCCAATTACATATACTTGTATAAGTCAGTGAATAACATGTAAATAATACCTAAGAACTTTTATGCTGTTCCCAATAGTTTAGGCTTATCATCCAGTACAGAAACATTCAAGGTTCAGGTATATTAAAGCAAATATATACTTGGGAGTATAAACTGGGTTCAGTCATAAGCACAGGTATAAATCATTAAAGTCCCAAAATCATGAAATCTGGCTGTATTTGCTAGATTAATGAGTTTTTACTCATTGAGAAAAAGGAATTAAATTTTACCCATYAGCAAGGTGCTCACTGTGAATTAACTGGTCTTACCTGCTTATCTGGCATCTTATTATATATTATTAACCAAACAGTATACGATTCATGTTTATGGAAACAGTAAAAGATAAATATACAGAAAAGGCTAAAAATATTAAAGCTTAAAACTATCATTTCAATTTTCTTTATCGAACCGTTAAAAAAACAACCTCTGGGCTAATTTAAGCCGTCAGGGCGCGGGTAACTCACAGATCAAACCTTGAAACAACCTCTGGGCAGAGCTAAGTCAGGGCGCGGGTAACTCACAGATCAAACCCTGAAACAACCTCTGGGCAGAGCTAAGTCAGGGCGCGGGTAACTCACAGATCAAACCCTGAAACATCCTCTTGGCTGATCTAAGTCAGAGCATGGCTAACTCACAGATCAAACCCTAAAACAACATTTTGGCTGATCTAAGTCGAGGCATATGGCTAACTTACAGATCGAGCCCTGAAACAWCCTCTGGGCTGATCTAAGTCAGGGCATGGCTAACCCACAGATCAAACCCTGAAACAACCTCTGGGCTGACCTAAGTCAGGGCGCGGGTACCTCCCAGACCAAACCCTGAAAAAACCTTTGGGAAAACTGATCAAAGTCAAGATACGCCTTAATCACAGATGGAAACAGAATTTAGTCAACTTAGTCGTAGTCAATAAACCGGCGAGAAATTGAAAAAAACATGCCATCTTAGGAACATCTAGTTTAAAAACTTCCTACAGACAGAACCGTCAAAATCAAAGCCAATTCATTAGAGGATACTAAATCTATTTTCTATCGTCTACTGAAAGTCTGAAACTTTTCGTTATTTCAGGAAAATAAGGTATTTTTGAATACAAACTGGAATGACAACCGTTTTCATAAGCTGTTCTAGACGTCTTTAGATCAAAGAGGGCCGACCAATTAACTTTTTTGTTCCAGTTAACATTTAAAAAAAGAAGAAATCGGGGATCAAAGTTTGCCATAAGAGTTCTAATTAGGTCGATTTTTTTATTTTATTTTATATTTTATTTTATTATTTCATTTTACTTTTTCGTTTTCATTTAAATTTTCTATTTGAAACGTTCTTAAAGGCCTTGTGTATATAATTCTTTTTATGTATATAGTAAAGATTGGATTAAAGACGAGACATGTTCACTGT